CCAACTTGATGCTGGATATCCCAGAGATGCCGGAGCGGCAACGTGTGTGCTTGTTCATTGATGGGCTGCAGTCTTGGGTGGCCACGGAGCTAAGGAGGAGGGAGCCTAGAGACTTGGCATCCGCAATGGCTATAGCGGAGCGCCTCGAAGACTTTAGGCGCGATGACAAGAGGGCCACGTCTCCCAGGAGGGACCACGGCAAAGGTGGGGGAGACCGGCGCTTCAAGAAACGGGGCTCGCCCAAGTCTAGTGATGATGAGCACAGCGATGAGGAGAGACGCCCACGCCATGATAAAGGCAAGGACCATGGAGAAAAGTCTAAGGCTAGTGGCAAAGGGGAGCGCCGCGATAAGGGCAAGTGGGAGCCGAAGTGCTACTTGTGCGAAGGGCCGCACATATTGCGACACTGCCCCAACAAGAAGACCATGAGCGCCCTTGTGAAGGATAAGGGCAAGGGCAGGGTGGACGATGCGGGCAGCGATGAAGATAGGTGCATAGGGGCTATGCAGATGCTGAGTAGCATGGTGCATGACACCAAGAAGAAGGGCAAGGCAAAGAAGGTAGCTGGGGTGCGCTATGTGGATGCGCAGGTTGGTGGCAAAGCCGTGCAAGCGTTGGTAGACACGGGTGCTACACACAACTTCATTACCCCGGAGGAGGCACAACGACTTGGCTTGGAGATGCGCAAGACGGAGGGCTGGATCAAGGCCGTCAACTCCGAGGAGGCACGCGTGAGTAGAGTGTGCAAGGAGGTGGAGCTATGCATGCAAGGATGGAAGGGCAAGGCTGACTTCCAAGTTGCGGAGATGGACGACCACGACATGGTGCTGGGGCTGGAGTTCATGGACAGGAACAACGCCGCGCCACTACCATGCCTTGGTGCGTTGATGATACTTGGAGGCGAGGAAGGCAAGGCCGCATGTATGGTGTCGCTCGTGGGCAGGAAGGAGAGTCCAGAGGTGGCAGTCAACACGATGGAGCTCGTGAGGACTTCACATCTCCCGAAGGGCGCTCGTACGTTTGGGCCAAGGACATATGCGCAAGTGCTGATGACCTGCGAGAGGCTGGGTCAGCTGAAGAAACCGTGACGAGGGCGTCACGGAAATGGGTGGGGGAGAATGTCACGCCCCGCCTATGGAGGTTGTGCCACGCAGGCGACACGCAGACGCTGAGGAGGACGCTGTATAGCAACTGCATGGCAAGTGGAGTTTCTAGAGTCTTCCGGAGTAGTCTAGAGTTGTGTGGAAGATTCTAGATATGTGTAGTATATTCTAGAGGTGTGTGGAAGGTTCTAGAATTCTCCAGAATTGTGTGGAGTAGTATGGAGGGTTCTAGAATGTTGTAGATATGTATGGAGATGTGTAGAAGGTGGAAGAAGATTCTAGAGAATCAATCTCCATCGTTGGTTAAAATGCATCCTAGCCATCCATTAGGGATGGGGATGCCTATAAATAGGAGTAGGACTTCATTTTGCAACCAACAAGTCCTAGAGTGAGTCTTGAGAGCCTTGTAGAGAGCTTGAGTGTTAGCCTTGTACAAAGCATTCTTTGAAGTAATAGAAGTGTTCTTTCCTTGCCAACTTAAGTGCCTTAGTGTGTGTGAGTGTGCAAGCCAAGTGAGGAGAGGGCAAGGGCAACTACAACACTAGTAAGCGCACGAGGGGAGTGTGTTGGCTAAGGTGTGCACGGGAGTTAGGCTGACCAAGTACTTGCGAGAGTGAAAGCAACGTCTTGGTGCCGCACGGGAGCAGCTAGAGTGGTGCTGAAACTCTAAGCCCGTGACATTATGCTCTGTTCGGTAGTGAAGAAAAAAATTGGATGGAAGGGAGAGAGAAAGGAATGTATGAGACATTCCTAGCGAAGAGATTGTATATTTCTTTCTTTTTGTTTGGTTGGATAGAAGAGAAGAGAATAAATTTAAATTTTCTATATTTGTTAAGAGAGAAGGAAAGAGAGTTTTAATTATTTTTACCATTATATCTAATAATATTTATAATAGATGATAGTAGTGTAATTAAAAACTTCTATAATTTAGGATAGAATTCAATTTAAAACTTCTATAATAGTCTAATTGTTTTTTCTCCTTTCTTCAGCCCATTTTTTGGTGGATGAAAATTTGTAAAAGATCCTTCCTATTTTTCTTTCTTTCCTTGTATCATTCCTATTGAACAAAGGAAATGTGTTCCTTCCTTCTTATTTTCTCTCCACACCTCTTCTTTCCTTCCTGCCAAACACAGCATTATTGTCACGGATGGAATCCTGATGACACCATGAGCAAGGAAGACACGCATGTTGGTTGGTGAAGGGCAACAATTGATTGGGAATGGTTCCAGGGATGGGGTGTGCATGTCCATAAGATATATCTTTAGAGTTCAGGCAGGTTGATCTGGTTCAGTTTGAGGAGTTTGCACGAGGAGAAGCAACGCCTTGGTGTTTCATAGGTTGAGCCACTGTACTAAAACTCTAGGCCCGTGAAAAATGGTATCACAGCAGGACGTGGAGAAAGTAGAGGGGTGTGCCCTCTCGTCAATCCGGGGGTCGAGAATGAAGGTGGTGCACATTTGCATCGGTTCGGGGTCTAATTATTGAAGTGGAGGGGAGCCTCCATAACCCTAGAATCACTATTAGAGCGTCCTTTGAAGTTGTGTAATGGAAGGCTGCGCGCACCAAAGTTCTTGCTAGTAAAAGGGTGATGCGAATCGATGCTAAGGGCGGGCATGAAGTTGGCAGGAGGGCCATGATTGCCCGGGATGTTGAGGAGGTGATATAATGTGGAGTTGCGTCCAAGAGGAGTGGATGTCCCCTTTGGTCCGAGACCCCGAGTGTAGAGGGCTGCATAAGGAAGCGATGATAGGTAGCGAGGTGAGCATACTGCTTGGTGTTGTAGACTTTGGAAAGTTGGACATCATGGAGTCAATGCCATACTGCAACGAGAGCGTTGCAGGATTTAGGTGGGGGAGAGTGTCACAGATGGATTTCTAACGACGCTATAAGCAAAGAAGACATGCATGCTGGTTAGTGAAGGGCAATAATTGACTGGTAATGGTTCTAAGAAAGTGGCGTGCAGGTCCACAAGATGGAATCTCTTCAGAGTTTAGACAAGTCGACTCAGTTCTGTTTGAGGAGCTTGTCGTTAGTTGTGGACTTGACTATGAAGAGGGAACTTTGCCATCTCTACACAAACTGGTATCCCTGCATAAACTGGTTGGGAGCTGGAGCCGTTCACATGAAGAGGCCAAGGCAGGCCGAAACTAGTCAGTATGTATCCTCGATAGGGCAGGTCGTGTGGGTTGACCAAGCGCTTATGCGAGGAGAAGCAATGTCTTAGTGCCGTACGGGCCGTGTCATTGTGCCAAAACTCTCGGCCCGTGACACATGACTGCATAGCTCTAGAATTAAAATTATTTTGGTGTCTCACCATTATCCCTTTGCCCATTCTTAAAGGGATTACATTACACTTCTAGTATAAATAGAAAATTATTCGTTTCTTATCTTATGTCAAAAAATAAAAAATTTAGTGAAAATGTTCCAACGAGCTTTTCTTGTAGTAGCTGGTAGTGGAGGCATGGGTGATGCAAATTCATGGGGCACACGTTAAGTCGGTACTACTGTCATTATGTCGTTAGAGTGAATGTGCACTACAGTGATCCACTCCTAGTATTTATCTCTTAAGAGAGATCAAAAATATTTTCCTGCTTGGTTCCATAATTGTGCTTTATATTGGTATTTCACATGAAAATGTTTTTGTGGGGTACCTATGGCATGACATCTATAATGTTATATCACCTTTAGTACTCCATATTTTCTATTATAAGGTAAATGGCGAGTGATTTTTGGATGAATGTACTACATTGTTGATATATTTGTTAATTTCTCATTTAATGAATATAATTTATTTATTTATTTAAGTTTTGGGTAAAGAACAATAGGTATATAAGTTAAAACTATGCTAGCTAGCAATTAGCAAATGAAGTAATTTTGTTTTTTTGATAAGTAATTAGCAAATTTTGAGCAAAATGGTGAGTACCAAGAGGAGAATGCAAAATCAGATAATTTCTACACAGTTTGGGATGAGTCGTTACAAATGTTATCAAAGCCTATCCCCAGCCAGAAATAAGGGACATGTACAAGCGACAAGAGTCCAACGAGGACACTGGGTTTCAAGATGGGATGATTGCTACATCCCCACATTGCCCGGGCCGAACGTAAAACCAATAAATTTGTTATTTCATTTATTCATTTTTAAAAGGCATGTTGAGCATAAAGATCTAATTCGACCCAAATATTTAATTTTTCTTTCTTTTTTAATCACAATTAATCCTTTTTATAATATTTAATTTTAAAATTTTATTTTTAATAAATTCATCTCATATTCCATTGAGGTTTCAACCCCGGTCTCTCTTTGAAAGTAAGGGTTTGGTATCGCTAAGTCACTGACCTGTTGATCAATTTATCTCATATCAATAGTAGCATCACACACAAATGAAAAATTCAATCAAGATTCAATTCTGATCATACCTTTTAATATTTTTGTATAATAGGAGCAACTTAATATTTCACATGAAATTGTGAAATATATTATTATTTTATCTATTAAAATCTTAATTTACATTTATCTTACACTTTGTTCCTTTTTTTTTTATAAGGTTATCTCAGACTTTAATTTCAGTACATTGCTTATAAAATCAAAATCCAGTTCAACCAAAAATTAATAAGAAAAAAGTTTATCTTTTATACTACTTTAAAATATGCTAACTCACCGTTCAAACAAAGTGGCACTTTCACGGTCCTTTTATATAATATAAAAAATATATATATATATATATATATATATATATATATGTGTGTGTGTGTGTGTGCGCGCGCGCGCGCAGTTAAACAGTACAACTAATCCTACTGTTTAATGTGAGTGAGTAGAGTGACAGGACAGTTAGAATTGTCTACCGCCACATAACAACATCCGTAATCAACACTTCCTTGGTTAGGGGCATTTCTGCTCTCCGAAAACGACGTCGTGTAAGGCAGTATAAAACCGCTTTCAGAAATAGGGAGAGCATTTTAGGGTTTATCAGGAGGAGGATTTTAGGGAAGTAGATCCAAATTTGCAACAAGATTTCGTCAGAAGAACAAGAACATATAACAGGTGAGTCATTTTCAGCACTCTCACATGTTTAATTTCATATTCAAATCTTTGCCTTATTTGAGATGTGTTGCATCAACTTCACCTACCCAGAAACTGCATGTTCTTAAACACTACCCATCATCATCATCATCATCATCATCATCATCCATATCTACCACTTCAAATCAACACACATTCACTGTCGATTACCTCGTTAAATCATGTGGGCTTCGTCCAAAAGAGGCTCTCTTGGCCTCCAAGTACATCAACATCAAAACCCCAGACAAACCAGACTCTGTTCTTGCATTCTTCAGCCACCATGGACTCACCGAAACCCAGATCTCACTTCTCATCAGAAGAGAACCTCGGTTACTCAATTACGATCCCGAGAAAACCTTTTTGCCCAAAATCGAATTTTTCCACTCTAAAGGTTTTCCAACCGAATGCATTACCAAAATACTGTCTGCAACACCAGATGTTTTGAGAAGAAGTTTGGAAAACAAAATCATCCCATCCTACAATTTCTTGAAGGAATTTCTCAAGTCCCAAGAAAAAACGAATGCCGTTATTAAACGCCAGTCTAGGCTTTTGTTTTATGATCCTCGCATTTGTGTAGCATCCAATATTGAATCTTTGAGAGAAATAGGCGTTCCTGAATCGAATATTGTGGCTCTCTTTACTAGTCATCCTAGTGATTTCATGAGTAATGCTGATAGGTTTAAGGAGACTGTGGAGGAAGTAAAGAAAATGGGTTTTAACCCTGCAAGAATGATGTTTTGTGTAGCAATTACTGCAGTGAAGGCAATGAGTAAATCAAATTGGGAAAAGAAGGTGGAGGTTTATAAGAAGTGGGGTTTGTCTGCGGATGAGGTTTTGGTGGCTTTTGGGAAGTATCCAAGGTGTATGATGGCATCAGAGGAAAAGATTATGCGGATAATGGATTTTTTTGTCAATAAAATGGGTTTGGAGTCTTCGATTGTTACGAGGACGCCAGTACTTGTTGGCCTGAGCTTGGAGGGGAGGATCATTCCAAGGTGTTTGGTTTATCAACTTCTGTTGTCGAAAGGTTTGATTAAGAAGGATTTTGGCTTGATTCAGATGATGGTGTCTCCTGAAAGTTACTTCCTAAAGAAGTTTGTGAAAAAGTACGAGGAAGAAGCTCCTGAGCTTTTGAAGTTATATCAGGACAAGTTGAATCCATCGAAGTAACAGGTGGATATGGAAAAATGAGGAACAGTAAGGTCGTACATCTCTGATTCCAATTTCCAACTATACATTGGTTTCTCCTTGTTTACTCTTGGGTAGTGAATATGATGATTTTGTATGAAATACAACATGGCAGTCAATTCACATTCATTAATCTCTGTCCAAAATTGAGTTCTCTGTTTTAGTTCCGGAAATTGAAACTTGAAGCTGAGCAACATGGTGAATTGAATTCCCCTGTAGTTTTGTAGTGGTTAAGGTTTGGTGTGATATACCATTGTGGGAGAGCAGTCTAGGTGGTGTTGGTTTTGCTTGACATACAATTTTGGAACTAGTTCAATCTGGTAAATTAGTGGTTTTGATTTTCAATTGTAATGATGATGCAAACACTCAGTGTCGTATTAAATAAATGATGACATTGTTCTCTTTATGAAGTGTGATATTGTTGTTTCAATTCAGGTTTACACTCTTTTCTTTTGCTCTATAGGAGATACGTATTTTAACCTATTATTGACTATGATTAGTCCATAAAACAAGTTTCTATTCTTTCTAGTGTGTATGAAAGTGTTAATAAATCAGCATGGAGAATCATCGACTAGTATCCAATGTGTTCCCTTCATGGTGTCCATTTACATAATGCTCTGCTTTTAACCTGATTTATTACTGTTAAAGTTAATTTCATCATTGGTATCAATTTGTAATCCCATCAGTAGAATATTGGATTAAATGTACTACAGTGAATTTCACCTTGTCCAAAACCATAACTATTTTTTTTCTTCCTAAAATTCATTTTGTTTTGGGGTCAGAATTTTTGTCCAATTTCTGGATATATTTCCTAGCAATTTATTGGGTATATTTTGAATGGCAATTAAAGTTACACAAAACTGAATTTCAAAATTTATCCTCTGCTCGTCTATAATTTTGTGATTAAATTAAGTCCCGGCTTCAGTTCAGTTAATCTAAGATTCCCATTGGTCATACATATATATATATATATATATATATATATTCATTTGATTATTATGTTACATGCTACTAGATCCACCCATGAGTCAATAGCTTCTTCAACTGCGTAAGATTTCATGGCAGCAAATATGGCTCATGTTCACTATCCAATTAAAATGATATGCTCAAATCCACCTTCTGCCTCTTAGTCGTTGTCTGCTTAGTAGATTGATTGCGTAGTTTAGTTCCCCACGTATAACGATATTGGGCCAATATGTCTCGCGGTAACAAAATTGTATTGTTTCATATTGCCTTCTGACATAAATCGAACTTTAAACGAAATTAGTTATTGAGCGCACCTAAGTGTCCCCATGCATTAGCAACTTAGCTGGTTTTTCTACAATGCTGTGATATTCATGAATTGTTCAGAATATTACAAAGATAGCCTTTAATTAAAATGGTTTTATACATAGTTCTGCAAAGCCTTTTTCAGTATTAGCGATAGGTTCTTTAGGAACTGGATGATCCTATTTGGGGCCCAAACGACTAAGACATGACATGAGTTATGCATTCCTGACCCTGCTTCACCTTAATTGTTATTTGAACAAGTAAAAGTTCCGTCTTGGTCTGAGCGGGGATAGCATTTCTCTTCTGCATGTCCGTGGAGTTTTGAAAAATCCAGACATCTAACATAGAAATATGCTTTCAAATTTTACTCTAAAAGTGAAAACTTGTTTGTTTGGAGCTTTCATCCCTCAGCCAAATAGTTGATTGGTCTAGGACAGTTTATGTGCTTATTCATCAATGTTTTAGATTGTTGAAATTTTAATAGTTTTGGCCATGACCGCAGTGTTTTCACTTTCCCTATTTTTTTTTTTTTTTCCTTTTAACTCTTCATTTGCCTTTTCTTATCATCCTCTTCAACTGTTTGCTTTTTGTTGTGGTTCTTTTTTTCTTTGACAATCGAATTGTCTGCATATTGTTGGTTATTTATCAATGTCATAAAAAACAGAATACTGCTGACTCACACTTCCATCAAGATTTCAGTCACTTAGAATTGTTTTTATTCATAATCACTTATAAATTACTCAAATTGTTTCTGAAAGGGAAACACTAATTTTTTTTTTCTGTGATATTTATAGACATGAAAAAAATTCGTTCTTTCTTTCATCTCTTGTTAATTCTCCTCATCTGTTGGTGTTTGTGCATTTTTGTTTTTTAATTGTAAGCTTGTTTTACCTTTCTTAGATTTCTTAGTGACATCTTACAGTTGAAAGTGTTGTGCATTGATGTCAATACTTAAAGAAGCAATTTAGAATGTTTTCCTTGACACAATTTGAGGACGAGAATTCAAGGCTTCAGAAGGAAGTGGTATTTTTTCTTTTGTTTAAATTCAGTTTGTTTTGGCGTCAAAATTTGAGCTAATTTCTCAATATCATGCATATCTAGTTACTGTTATTCATGGTGGAACTTTTTATGACATTTCCGGGCACATTCTGAACCACTGGAATGGCAATTAATGTAACACAAATCTGCAGATGAATTCATCATCCAAATTACAAAATTTATTTTGGCTTATGCTTTAGGATTTCATAGGAAAAACATTAGAGTACAGGCAGGGTCATCACCCCACCAGCACACTTTCGGCTGAGTTAGGCTCTGATACTATTTGTAACGATCCATTGTACCACATAATATGATATTGTCCGCTTTGGATATGAGCTCGCACGGTTTTACTGTTAGACTTTTCCCCCAAAAGGTCTTACACCAATTGGAGTGACACACCTACATATAAGCACTTCACCTTTCCCTTACCCAGGCAATGTGGGATTGTACACTCGTAACTTGCTAGTATCTCGCATCCGCCCACGGCACAACTGTCCGCAGAGTCGTCACAGTATGGTACACTTGTATGTCAAGTTATGATGCTTGCTCCATAGATTGAATTTTCTGTGATAGATATAAATATGAATTTTAAATTTTTTATTATTTTTATTTTTTACCAACCTAATGTTATGATTCTTTTTTAATTGTTGGCTTGTATTTCCTTCTTATGTAGCCATTTTATAGGTCGCTTAGTGACGTCTTACCGCTGTAAGCATTGTGCATTGATGGCAATACTTAAAAAAAGAAAAAAAAGAATATAAGAACATAAAGAAAAAAAATATATATATATTATCTTGATGCGACTCATGCATTACTGAGGTTTTACTCGGATAATGATGATGCCCATTTATCCTAGCACCCTATTGTTGACATTTGAAGGGTGCATTCCTAGCTTAATTGTTGGGTTCCTTTACTGTGAGTACATTTTACATCCAATTGGGAGGTTCTCTACATTTTACATACATAAAATTAATGGATTGATAAATCCAATAACACAAGTTTGAGTGAGAAAAATGAAAAGTTATTACTCTCACTAAATGGATATTATGGTTTGATTTTTATTATGTAATAATCATAAGATTTTTCAGAGGAAAATACAGTTTCCTTGATGATTGTAGATGAGTACATGAATAAACCAAGAAAAAGTAGCTTGTTATGTGTATAATTGTTATAATTATTGGTTTGGGATTTTTTCATAGTGTGATACTATTTAAACCACTATTTACCCCATTGTTTTATAAATTCCGATTAATCGGCACTTCTGCCTACCCTAGCCTTTTTTTTAAGCTTCTACAAATTACTTGGAACTATGCAGTTCATGTTGATTTTTTATGACTAAAAAGATCAGCATAATAAATCGGCAAATTTTTTATAGTATTGGTGACTTTACATAGAGATATTGGTTTATTCATAATGAAGTAAATATTGCATCTTTATAATATAAATATGAAAATGTTTCCTTCTTGAGGGTTATAAGCTAAGGTTAATTGCTTATGTGCAGTACATGTGTTAAGCCACTGTAGTTCTACATAGAATCTATTCGAATATGGATTATGCTTACAATCCCTCAATTTTCAAATAATTTATTCTTCTTCTTTTTTTTTTAATTTTTTTTTTTTTTTGATTTTAGTACCACCATAGTTTTCATATCTTTTTTAATATGGGTTATGTTTACAGTCCCCCAAGTTCATGGATGGGATTAAAAAACATGGCTAGGCATTTCTGGTTTGTCCCCTCCTACACAGTTTGGGACAATAGGAAGTTTAGTTGCATGGTTGCAAAAATTATACATATTTCTATTTTCCCTTGTATTCCTATTTCCATTAGAAGACAATCAGTTATTGATGGGAATTTTTTTGATGTGAATAAGCTTGTATTTGAAAAAAAAAAAAAAAAAAAAAATTTGCTCGCCTCTTAACTTAATTACGCACAAGATATATATAATCCAGGCAACTCGGCATAGTATTGAACAAATGATCTCCTTTTTATCTATAGATAATCAATCACTTGGGTTAAATGCCCAACTCAACTACTCAACTCAACAAAACTTTTTCCCAATTACTTCGAGAACTCCTCACATTATGTAGTGACACTGCTAGTGATGAAAACTATTTCCTTATTCAATCTTCTTCCAATCATCTGAACTTCTCCATCTGGTCACGTAGATCATAAGAATATATATATATATATATATATAGATTTGAAGGAACTTCTCCATATTCCTAAAATTGGAAGGAAAAACACAAATATATATATATATATATATATATATATATATAGATTTACATCTAATGCTGACAGGTATATGCATGGTGCATGTCACATGGCACATGGTTCTTCTTACAGGTATATTTGCCTTTACTTTTTTTAACAGACTAATGTTTTCTCACAGGCTTCCTCACTATGATGTAGAATTTCCGTTTCCACATTTTGGAGAGACAAACTGGAGACAACTTTTTATACTTAAAACTATATATGATTGAACATCAGAAACAACGTTTTATTTGTAAATTTCGAGCTGCTTTGAGGAGTTTTATGCTCCGTTTTGTAGGAAGGAGGAATATTGGATGGAAGGGAGACGAAGATATGAATGAGACATTTCTAGAAAAAAAATTGTGTCATTTTCTTTTTTTATTTCGTTGGATGGAAGTGAAGAGAAAGATAATACATTATTTTGTATATTAAGAGAGAAGGAAAGCAAGTGTTAATTATAAGGAAAGTTTTGTAATTTAAAAACTTTTATAATAGCCTTGCCTTCTTTTTTTTTTTTTTTTTTCCTTTGCATCTACCGTCCATATTTGGAGGGATGAATTTTGTGAAGGAAGAAAGATGACTCATCCAGTTCCTGGGGGCTTGAATAGGTTGGTAAGACTTGGAGTTGCCATACACAATGCCAGTGATCGAATTTCGCAGCCTCCCTTATCACCTTCGACTAACCTGGTGCTGTAGCTATGGGGCCGGCTGCTGTATCCCCAATTTGGTGCCTTTGGGGTGGGTCCCAAAAGCCCTGTCTAGGGGAGTTCTAGGTCATAAAAAAAATAAAAAAATAAAAAAATAAACAAAAAAATGACTCATCTATCCTTTCTTTTCTTCTCTCCTCGCCTCTCTACCAAACAAAGGAAGTTTGTATCTTCCTTCCACCCCTCTTTCCTCCTTCCCACCAAATGGAGCATAAATGCCTAGATTTGGTGTTTGCTACATTCTCCATCCTTAAGATGAAAGATATAGTCACATAGTAATCCATCCCTCAGGAGAAATATCTGCCACAATTGATTTAACCTCTTAAGATGGTTTATTGAATTCATTTCCAATGAACTTTAAAGACTGGGGTGTATCTATACCTAGGTGAAGATCATTATAGTTTAGTTTATTCTGAAGTGAATTTAGTATTTGTTGATAATTTTTACTAAAAGAATGCTATCTTTTTATTTCTTTTCTTATTTTTATTTTTTCTTTACTTTGGCAAGAAATTTATACACCCAATTTGTTCTCATGGAGACTTCAACCCTTCTACGTCTGAGAGGATGTACCCCTAGGCTACAATGTAGAAGAAGGCTATCTTGTTTTAGAGTAGTAGGTGCCCTCTATTTGTTCTGATGAAAAGTAAGATCAGAAAATAAATATTAGGTGCATGCTATTAGATAAGTCATCACATTTTTTAATTATTTTATATATCAGATACATTATCAAAGAATTTATATAACTTGTTTGCAGGCACACAATTGAAATTAGCTTCTCTTTCTGTGTGTGTGTGTGTGTAAAGGAAACTTTCTAGAAAATAAACTTTGCTTTGCATGTGATAGTCATCTTATAATAAGATAAGACTTCAATACAATATGATTAGCAATAATTGCAATAGAACAATAGTGGCTTCCCTATCTATAAGGACGGACATCTTTCTTATAGCTGATGTGTCATGATATGATTAGACTATGTATCTTTTTTCTAATATTAAATAAAATTTAGAAAAATAACATAGTTTTTAAATATAGTCCATTCATATCATGTCATGCTAGCTACAAGGAGGAAATATTTCTTTATAAATAGGGAGGGAAGTATTATTCATTGCGATATCATTTCTAATTGAAACAAAATAGATGCTTGATAGCTCATCCTATCTAACTTCCTGTTTTGGATTTACTTCACATGCAGCTCTTGGAGAACCTGATTCTAGTTGAAAAGAAGCGAAGACCACCATAATTCTTGGTAGAGTGTATTCTATGCATTGAGAGGTGTCCTTTATTCATTATCAACAAATTTTTGAGAGTGAAAATCCATATTTGTAATCAGGTCCTTAATCAGACGTCCCAGAGAAATGTAGGATGACCCACCCTCCGTCATGGCTTCTCTGCTCTTTTCTTTCATGTCATTCACCTTCTTCGTAATTTCCCCATCATCCGTCATAACCTTTCTTATTCCGCTCTCTATCTCCTCTGCCGTCAAGGGCACTTGATTCAAATCTTTGCTATAGTCCATCTTGATCTCCACCGCTAAACCCAACTCTTTCACCATCTCAAAAGCATTCATTTGCTGCTCTGCGTACAAAGGCCGCGCTGCCATGGGCACTCCACACCACACACTTTCCAACGTTGAATTCCACCCGCAGTGTGACACAAACCCTCCCACCGCAGGGTGTGACAGAACCGCCATTTGTGGCGCCCAACCAATCACTTTTCCCATCCCTGCCGTCCGTTCCCAGAATCCCTCTGGCGGGACTTCCTCCGGATTGTCGTATTCCTTTGCAAGCTCCATCTTTCCCTTCGGTGGAGGCTGACGCAGGGACCACAAGAAACGGTAGCCACTGCGCTCCAGTGCATCCGCAATCTCTTTCGCCTGTTCCTTATCAAAGCTTCCCATCCTCCCGAAGCACAAGAAAACCACTGATGATGGTGGCTGATCGTCAAGCCACCTCATGATAGCATCGGACTGTTGGCTTCCCTCATCGCTGTCGAGGTTGAGTACGGGTCCCACTGGGTAGACTGGCGGGGTTTTACTGTCAGATAAGGACTTCACTGCATGGGGTTCTAGCTCCATGAATGTGTTGACAATGATGCCTTTAGCACGTCTGAAACATCGGGCACGTGCTAGGAACATGCTGGCCCCTTCTTGGCTGTTCAGCACCACAGATGGCATGACCTTAGTCGGAACTGAATTGACAAAACTTGGAACTGACAACTCAATGTCTGAGTCCTTGAATTGAGTAATGTCTTCGTTTTGGTGGTCATGTATGGACTGGAGATGGAACACGAGGCCAAGAAAACCAGCACTGGAAGTGAAGTAGACGTAGGTAGGGACCCCCAACTCGTCAGCCACATCAATCATGCCGGTGCAGAACATGTCGACGACAAAGCCGGCAAGCCTAGTGGTCTTGATTCTGGCAGCAACATCTCTCACGCGAGTCTTGTTGGTTTCTATGAGGGCGGTATGAAAGTGGACACCAGACTTAGAAGTGGAATCTGAAATTGATTCGTGGTGAGGAAGTTCCACGAAACGCAGGCGTGAGTCTTCTGACTTTGATTGGGTATAAATGCTTGTCTTGGTTTCAAAGGGAGCCTTCATTATGATGACTGTAATGAAGAGCCGTTCGTCTCGACGGATGAGGAGGTTGGCCATCTCAAGTGCTGATGCGAGGTGACCGACTCCGGGCGAAGGGATGAACACCAGCTCTGCTGTTTTCTGCATTGTTACTACTACAATGCTAGTAAGGATGGGAAGAAGTTGAACTTTTGATTCTGTTTTACACTATTGTTACGATTTATGGTTGACATATCCTTTCTAGTTCGAGCTGTTTATATATATAGACCGTGAACCATTGAATATGTATCGAAGTGATGTAATGGCTTTGCTGGCAGAGAAAGTTACACAGTTTCTCAAGTTTGCACTACAACCATGTCAATACATTATTGATTGGTATACTCTGGTACTAAAATTCTTTTATTACCGAAAAAAACACACTTCATATTTCACATCTACAGCAAACCTTTGAAATGTGTTTACTTAGTCTATCGTACAAGTCATTGTATTTTGAATTGTCTCCTTTGCTGCTTGCACCTTAAAAATAAAATTTAGGTAGATTGAGAAATATTTTGATGGAAGATTTAACAGGGTGTTAAATTTTCTATAATATTAAACAAATGATCTTCGTTTTAGCTATAGATAATCAATCACATGGGAGAACTGCCCAACTCAACTACTTAACATGATGTTTTTTTCAACTACTTTGAGAACTCTTCACATTATTTAGTGTCACTGCTACTAATGATTTTATTTTATTTTATTTATTTATTTTTCAATCTTCTAGATCATTCAAACGTCTCTCTCTGATCACCGGATTATATATTCTTGTTCATGAAAGTGTATAACAGTATTGGACTTTTAAAAAAGGTAACGAACTGAAACCATGATCCCAGTAATTAATATTCAATCAATAAGTGTGGATAGTCCTATTATAAATGCATTATTTATAGACAAAATCGTGAACAACCCTGCAAAACCCTTATTACTATGTATAAGAAAAATGATATAGTCAAAATTGATAAACAACAAATATAAAAATAGATATTAAGCTTACATAGGTTTGGTGATTGTTACATTCTGCATCATTAAGATGATAGATTTAGTCACGCAGTAATCCATTCCTCAGGATAAGCATCTGACGCAAGTGACTTAACCTCTTGAGATGGTTTATTGAATCTAGGTGAAGATTATGATAGTTTTAGTTTATTCTGAACTGAATTTAGAAATTTTTTTGAGTTAGTGAAAAATTGATAATATTCATGCAACTTTGTTCTCTATCCAATTTGTTGGGCATTCTTCTTGTGCACTTAAAATGAGATAAAATTGATTCAGATGGTTTGAACATATATATATATATATATATATATATATATACACACACACATATACAATAATATTGAAGGTAATGCTAGATGAAAGGAAAAACCAAAATTAATGTGGGTAAAGTAAGTAAAGAAAACTATACGGTGTGGTTCGACCCCAAATCCCTAAGTAATTGAGAAAATAATATGTTTGTTGTATTTCTTTTTATTTATTATTTATTTTTTTATTTTTAAATTAGCATAATTTTGGTTGGACAAAACTTGCCTGCTCACCGGTGAATAGGTTATCCCTACTGACAGTTGATGTGGTCCAATTATAATCCCTAATTATAAAATTAAAAAAGTGACAAATAAGGACAATAATTTTTTTTTGGAATAAATTCAATTACCCTCCTTGATTTCATTATGTATCACTTTTCAAATTTTGTAATTATATATTATTTGTACATTTATGATTGGATTACATTAGCGGTCAATAGGGATCACCTACTCACTGATGATTTTGGTATTCTTTCTTGTGTTTGACTCTGATATATAGACGATATTTAGGTCGGTCACTTGTGAGGATTTACAACATACTCACTGTTGACGTGTACCAATAATAAATAGACATGTGATCTTTAATTACTAAATAAAAAATAATGAGTAGATATTTACTTATCAAATCAGTGATCCACTATCTATAATTTGATAATTAAAATAAAATATGTCCATTTATTAGTAATTCACAATAAGGATGAGTATATTAAAAATCCTATCGAAATACTTAGTCCACCTTGTAGTACTTTCATTTCAATATTCATGATAGCTTTAGCACTTTATTGTATCCTTACACCGTAAATTTGTTTATGCTGAGTTTTATATAATCGGAACCGTATATATTATCTGGGAGAGGGAGACAACATTAAAGAATGCTATTTCTTTTCTTTTTTTTACCCTAATAAGGAAGGATGTCTTTCGTACAATTGATGTGTCATGTATTTTTGAATCATGTTTTTTTTATTTTTTATTTTTTTTAATATAAAAAATAAATAAAAAATGTAAGAAAAATAACTTTTTTTTAGGTGTGTCAAATTTATACCAAATTTATTACTACCTCCATTCTAAAAAAAGTGTCCTTTATAGAAAACCGTGTTAGTTTAATTTGTAAGAGTTACTGTTCTCTAAAGTGACACTTTTTATAGAACGGAAGGAGTTATATATTCTAATCATATCATACCATGTTAACTGTAGAGAGAAAGTTCCTCCTTAAACATATTATTCATTGTGATACATATATATATATATATATATATGACTTCATGTCTGGTTGTTAAATGTTTTTTTTTTTTTGAAATTAACATTTAACAGTTAAAACTTAGGTATCCCGATAAAAAAAAAAGAAGCTATCTATAGTTGGGATCGAGTGGGATTCTCTAAGATTAGCACCATCTAATAGTAAATAATTTTCTCATCACGTGAGAGTGACTGTTTAAAATGGTCCACACTCCCCGCATATTTTTGACCTACTGGCTTAAATATTAGGGAAATACTTCCATTCTGTACGGTGAAGATGAAGTTCATCCTCCCTGCTAACGTCATGTGGTTATGACATGTGTTTAATAATAAATTGGGTTATATTGATTTGTGTGGGTTAAACCCGCTTCCCCGTCTCTTTTCTCTCTCTAAATGCAGGCAGCTGCATAGAGCTCTGAAGAAACCACCGGCGACTTCTCGGTCGACGGCGGTTGTTGGTGAGGTGGTCGGCGGTGAGGAGAACATCGGAGATCTGGAGGAAGAAAATGACTGACGTCGTATGAGTTACAATTGCGATGAAATATTTTGGTTCTTGGCGATGACGCCGAGAGTGAAGAAGTTATGGTTGCCGACGGTGAGGCCCCTGAAGGCGGTGCCCGAATTAAGTTGCCGACGGTGAAGCCCGTGAAGGTGGTGCCGGAATTACCTTGTTTGTCCCCACCGATGACGCGTTCTCGGACCTTCCCATCTTTTGATGAGTCAATCTTCTCTAAACGAGGCTCAGACCAAATACACTGACTATTTATATTCACTGCTTGATGTTGTTGAATTTTATTGATATGATTCGCTCTCTCACCAACCTTTTGCTTTTCATTTTTTCCCCCAATTATTTTACTCAATTAATCTATCCTCCCAAGGTCTTTGTAAGCTGAAATCAACTCTACTTTTCTTCCAAACAAAACACTTTCCTCTTCATTACTATCAAAGCTTTCACACACTCTCTCTTCTCTCTCTAACTTCATTGTTTCTCTGAGCTGTCAAGCATCAATTGGGGTTCTGGTGAAGAGAAAGGTGAGCCCCGTGAATCCATCTCTCCATTTATAACGGTCACTTTTTTTTTTATTTTTTTTATTTTTTATGCTATTCCCACTGGGATTTTGGGAAGATCCAAGCGTAGTGAAGGCGGGACCGGTGGTGCGCCGCCGTCGGAACTGAGGAAGGCATCAAATTGATGCGAACTGGATAATCAAATGCCCAATCCCAGAACTAAGGAAGGCATCAAATTGAACTTAATTTAGATATAGTGATAATGGAAAGACGTAGGCAATGAAAATTTGGGTGTTCTGCATTTAGGGAGAGAGAAGAGACTGACAGGGAAAGCGGGTTTAACCTACAAAAATGGGCATTGCCCATTTTTATTTTTGGACATGTGGTGTAACAACATGTGGCCACGTAAGGAAGGAGGAGGAATCCTCCCTGTGTAGGATGGAATTACCACTCTAAATATTATACATGTTCAAAAAAAAAAAAAAAAAACAAAAAAAGAGAGTTTAGACTATCTCTGGTGCAAAATGTTATTTTTGCGTATCAAATTTATATTTTGAAAAGAGTTACAGTATCAAAATGTTATATTTTAGCAATTCTACTCTAAGGTGCATTTCATTCAAAATGTTATTTTTTAATACGACAATCATTATTTTTCAATTATCATTCCCAACTACAATTTTCAATAACCATTATTATTATTATTATTATTATTGAGTATTTGTATTTTATTTACCTTATTTGTCTTATTAAAAATAAATAAATAAAAGCATTGACATATATATATATATATATAGGACTGTTCACCTACTCATTGGTGTATAAGGAATTTATACACGAAATAAATCTTAACCCTTAGATATACACAAGCAAAACACCAAATTGACAACCTAACATCAAATTGACAGCCCATGCAAGAGAGAAAAGAGAAGGAAGAGAACAATGACAGATTTGACAATAGTTATATGTTGTATTATATTTGGCACAATATTTGACAAAGTTATATTTTGACAACCCATTTAACATGCCATTGGAGAACCCATTTAAAACCCACATACTATATTTTGAAAATAGTTGTCCATTAGAGTGGCTCTTATACCATTTAAACTAAAATTTATTAGTAACACATTTGAGATATTGTTCAACTTTGAAGTCATTATTAACACTAGTTGGTAAAAATTAATGACAGCTACCTTTAATGGAAAAATAAAAATCCATAAAAGGGACAATGCCTTGGAATCATTCATTGATTGAAAACGCCAAATTTTACTTGGGGCTCAAGTACCCAATTTCATATTTCTTTTTCTTAATTAATGGTTTGTTAGATATTTAAGGAATTTATGAACAAATTAAATTTTAACCGTTAGATATACACAAGCACAATACCAAATTGACAGTCCAACACCAAATTGGCAACCCATGCAAAAAAGAAGAGAGAAGGAAGAGAGCAATAGTAGATTTGACAATAGCTATACGTTGTGTTATATTTGGCACAACATTTGGCAAAGTTATATTTTAACAACCCATTTAATATGCTATTAAAGAGCCCATTTGAAACCCACATGCTATATTTTAAAATTAGTAGTCCGTTGGAGTTGCTCTTATACCATTTAAATTAAAATTGATTAGTAACATATTTGTGATATTGTTCAACTTTGAAGTCATTATTAACACTAGTTGGTAAAAATTAATGACAGCTACCTTTAATGGGGGAAAAAAAAAATCCGTAAAAGGGACAATGCCTTGGAATCATTCAAATCTTGAAAGCTATCTATCACAAGCCACAATATTTTTACTTGACTGAAAACACCAAATTTTACTTGGGGGCTCAAGTACCCAATTTCATATTTCTTTTTCTTAATTATTGGCAGCCCATGCGAGAGAGAAGAGAGAAGGAAGAGAACAAACAGATTTAATAATAGT